ACGAGTCCGTCCTGATTCCCGGACGCCCTTTGATTTTACGATATCGATTTTGTATGTTATGGCCCTGGCCGCTAGTTGCTCTTCCTGTTTTATACCAACACAACAAATTGATGTATAGTTCTAGTCGTAAACAAAGATTCGATCTGATTCTGAATATAATTTATGATTCAAAGATATGGATCTTAAATATAAATGTGCTCAGCTAATAATTTGAACTTTCTGGTAACGGAAAAGAATTTAATAGACTAAGTAATTTGAACCTTTTTGAAATTCACTAAAATTCTAAATGGAATTCAACATTAAGAAATTAATTAGATTTGACACTTAAGATAATAATTATAATTATTTTAGATGAGACTCCTATCGATATCGAAAGATTGTTACAACAAGAACAAGAACTATTTAATTAAATCTGTATTCCAAACCTGTATGTTGGAGGAGGAAAATGTCAACCAAATGATGAATGCAATTGTAAAAAGGAATGAATGTAATAGAAATAGAGTAGAAATGGCAGAGATAACTATATCACAAACAGGGTTAGTGAAGATTGGAGCTGACGTGAACCTACAGATATCAGAAAATAACAAAATGGAGTTATTTAAATTATTCGATGATTTTGAATGTGGGTTGTACGAATTTATTTGAAATGAAGAATGAAGTCACTAATATAAACCCAATATCGAGTCGCCCATATCGACTACCATACGGCCAACAAAATATAGTTTATGAATAAGTCAATGAATTATTGAAAGCGGGTATTGTTAGAGCTTCAATGTCTGAATAGTCCTGGTGTAATGCCGAGCCCCGTACAGGAGGAGAACATTTATGTATTGATTACAGGTAACTGAATGAAGTTATATGGAATCAATATAGACGAATGACATTTATAGATGAACACCTAAATAATATTGACAGTACTAGAAAATGAAAAAAGGTGAAATTAATAGGTTACTAATACGAAGGTAGAACAAACCAAGACAAAATTTTAAGGAGGCAAAAATAGGCTAAAAAGAGATTGGAAGGAAGTAAATAAAGAACAAAACTTTGTATACTTTCTTCCTCCTTTCTATAAATTTATTGGAAATTGTTAATCATTTGGTACCTTAAGACTTTTAATAAATATTAGAAAGAAGGCAAAAGAAACCATTGAGAAGTCAGATAGATATCAATGTGAATGCAGACAAAACTTTTTTTTTTAGACTATTTTTAGTTCTGCATTTTACTTATGCTAGAAAATATGTAAAATGAAGCCAAAGAAATTTATTGGTGTAGCTAGCAATCTATAACACTCCTTTTTACCTTCTTTTAAGTATGTTAACAAACCAGCAATATGGCAAAACGAAATCGGAAGAGCGTAAACAAAAAAGGAAAACAAAGCTTAAATATTTCTTATCGAGCTACATTTCTAGCAAGCTCAAACTATGCATTTTATTGATAATAATTTAAAAAATATAACTTTTTTATATGATACCGGTATATATGGGTATATAATATAATTTTCGAATTAATATATTATACTTTTCAATCAAAGTAATCCATATTTCTCACAACACCTTCATCTCTTTATCATCGACAATCTTTAAAGTACTAGCTTCAGTGGTTAAATCACATAGCAGATGTAAAATAGATCACTTAATTAAAGGTCTCGATTTAAGTATTTTTATTTCGTTTTAGACTTTTTACTCAGGGACAGTTTTTTTGTTTAGTACATTTTTTTTGATTAATGATTAAATCTGTTTTGTTTCTAATTTTTTTTTACTAAAACAATTTGTAAAAATCAAATTAATTATTATGATCTTTATATTCAACGCTTTCTGGAGAAAATTACCTCTTCTTAAATAAAAGCAAATTCGTGCTCAAATTGACAAATCGGACAGGCGGTTAATGAGGTCGTTATCTTTATACGAAAGCCAAAGTGAATTTTATTAGGTAGCGAAATTATTGATCACATCGCTTTGAAGTTTACTCGGGAATGGACATTGGCTCCAATGTTATAGAATATCTTCCATGACAGTGTTCTCAGGATGGTTGTTAAACGATGTATCCATTTAATGATTTTATAAAATTGAGTTGGTTTTGGAGCTGAGTTGAATAGAATATTTTGTCTTTGTTTAGGTACGTTAGTAGTTTATATGCTTTTATAAATGTATATAGCTGTCTTGGTCGAAATTCCTTTGTTCTTGAAGGTTAAGCAGCGAAAGTGTTTAGCTCTTTTAATTATTTCTAGTTGCTTTTCTTTGAAATGTTTTTTTAGTCGTAGTCGTTTGTCCTGAGATATTCCTAGATATTTAATATTTCCTGAGGGTTTCAATTTGTCTTGTTCTGTAAGGATAAATGGGGAATTTTCGTTGAGGTTGTGATAAGGAATTCGGAGTTGGAATTTGGAAGGGTTGGGATGGAGTTTCCATTTGTATAACCACGCTAATGTTTTGTTGTGAAGTGCTTGCATGTTGTTGATTGCTTCTTTCATGTTCTTTTCGTGTGTAATCAACGTGGTGTCGTCTGCGTATTGTAGTACATAACATGTTAAATCTAAGAATAAGGGATCTGGGGAGTAAATGTCTGAGCAATAGATGTTATATAGCGTGGGTGATAAAGGAGAACCTTGGGGAACACCTTGTAAAGAAGAAAACGGATTAGAACATGTATTATTTATTTGGATTTTAATTTGTCGGCTTTTAGGAAGTCGTCTATGATTTTTATAATGTGTATATCCACGTTGAGTAGGTTCATTTTGTAGATTAATCCTTTGTACCACACGCTATCGAATGCTTTATTGATGTCCAGAAAGACTATTGCTGTAAGTTTCTTCAATAGATGCATTGTTTCGATGTTATTATATAGAACAGATAGAGGGTGCGTGGTGGAATTTTGATGTTTGAATCCGAATTGGTATATTGGAATTTATGGCGTTTAGAATTCTTGAATTGATGATGCTTTCATATACTTTTTCAATTACGGAAAGGAGTGTAATGGGACGGTAATTCTTAGGGTTCGAAGGATTGGAATTGGGTTTAGGATTAGACATTGGGTTTAGGGTGTCCAAATTTGGATGGGTTTGCAGGGTATCTCAGTTATTATGAAAGATAGAAAGTTGCGGCTTTCGCGAACCTGAGCTACTTTTTTGTGAAACTTACAATGGGGCAAACCAAATTTTCATAGCCCTCTTCGTTTTTGATATTTTCAGACTCCTCCTGTATCTCGGCTATCCGGACACGTAAAAACGGGTTCTAATAGATTTTTTCACGTAGAATCCAATGGTGCACGTAGAATTTTTCTAGTCATCACGGTTTTTGAGTTATAAAGAGTTCAGTATTTTAGAAGTTGAGTATTCAGTATTTGAGTTGTGTTTATAACTCAAAAACCGTGATGACTAGAAAAATTCTACGTGCACCATTGAATTCCACGTGAAAAGATCTATTAGAACCCCGTTTTACTTCTTTTTACTAAGTTTCCGGATGGCCGAGATACAGGACGTGTCTGAAAATCGTAAATTTCCCTGTATATCAAAAACGAAGAGCTCAGGTTCGCGAAAGCCGCAGCTTTCTATCTTTCATAATAACTGAGATACCCTGCAAACCCATCGAAATTTGGACACCCTGTACTAATGTCGTTTTCATTAATGTCTGGTTCTACGTTACATATTGTAGCCGAAAATGAATTTTGTGTTAACTCTTCCAACATTTTCTGAATTATAGTTTTCTCTTCTTTACTTTTTAGCAAAAACCCGGTTTTACAAAATCCAATAACGTCGTCACTGTTTATGTTATTTGCAGTTTTGATTTCGCTCCATTCTGCAGACAGCTGCGTGCGTGTGAGTGTGGTTGAATTTGGTTTTAATTCGTAGATCGTTTTGAATTCGCGCTCTATGGTGTTTAATTTATCTTTATGTGTGAATGATGCCGGTTTGAATGATGTGCGTATAGTTTTGTTTTGTTTGAGGCATTTTAAAAATATTTGAATCTAATAAATATCTGTTTTTTGTTGCGTGTTTTGAATATAGGAAAAGAGAGTTGTTGGCGTACCTGTTTTCATTGCTTGTTCTCGTCTTGTCTTTCTCGTCGTTGTTTTTGTGTCCATTTTCTTGCGGGTTGTGTTAGAGCTTTTAGGCCGTCCACGTTTTCCGGTACTCCTATTATTTTCCCACTGGCTTCCGGAATACAGCGACTCCTCCGTATCACTCATCTTAAATTAATCATTTGAGTAATTTAGTTAACTGTAAGTACACTTTTATTAAAGTGGTTTTCGAGCGGTCTGTTACAATCGTGCGTACACTGTCACAGCTCTACCTCGAGTCGGCCGGAAGAATATTTTAAGAGATGATGGCAAAAATTTATATAAATGAAGCAACACAAAATATATTTAAAAGTGTTGTTGAGAAAATTAAATAAAAAGCAATAAAAGAGAATTTATTTATTTTAATTAAAAATAGGGAGAGCGCAAAAAATATATCAACTATCATTAAAAATAAAGTTGAAGCATGCTGGATAAAGACAAAATGATCACACAAGGGCTAAAGCAAGGCGACGAGTTGGCTACGAAAGATCCTCTCACGTCACACCAACACTTTCTCCCATCACCAACATAATGCAAAGCCGCATTGCTACCGACGCCTATTCCAAAAAGCATATAACCCGGCAAAAATCCAATACTACTCCCTTAGCAAGCAAATTCGTGAAGCAATAGAAATCCGTAAAAATGAAACGTGGTCCAAAAAAGTCAAGTGCATCAATTCCAATGATAATTCTATCTGCATCGATTTCCGTAAACAGGATCAAAAGGGTGAGCGTGGACATTATTAAATTAAATAAATAAACAAGATACCTCCGAATCGCTATTTTGTAAATTTATAATATCACGTTGAAAGTTATTAGTCTCATATTGCCACTGATAATTTAATAAGTTTAGGTGGACTAGAAGTTTTAATAATAGCTTAAATGTTAAAACTATTTGACAATATCAAAGCATAAATTTTATTTTATTAAATACACAATATTCATAACATTTCTTAATCAATACGAATCTCTATTCCGACTGCATAAATTCATCTCTTAAATCAAACAAAACTCGTTTTGATGCTGGAAAAAAATCTAATAGATGAAACCATTTTGATCTATTCAAAGCAATTAATGTGCTTTTCTTTGTTGCTTTATAACTATAGTCGTGACCGAAATTTTTAAATAATCCTTGGTCTAATCCGAAATATTCTCCGGTGGTTAATGTGCCGATGCTACTTTCATTTAGTATTGTGTCTTCAATTACCAAACTAACTTCGCCCTTATGAATAAAATACATATTTCCGTCGATATCTCCCACGTAAGTAATAAAATTTCCCGGGAAAAATATTAGGACATCGAAAGTAGCTGCCATTTGTCGTAAAAGATCCTTATGGCAGTGCTTTAAAAGTCGATGTTTACGCAAATGGTAGCCATAAAGACCGTTTAAAATAGCCTCTCGTAAATAATAAGGTGATTCTTTGAGAAGACGTGGATATTGGACGCCATTGTGATGATTCCATAATAAATTGAAATATTCTCCAATTCTTTTTCTAAAAGGTTCTGATACTTCTTTTTCGTTCATGATGTTCTTTAATTTTAACGCATAAGTTTGATAACTTCTCCTTGTTTGATTAATGTTCTCTAATACGGAGCAGGTTTCCGCTATAAACAGTGTAATACAAAACTTACAAATTAGCATGATAGCAATTCCATTAAATATTGTGTACATATTAAATTCAAGTGTTAATTCCGGCGAAGAACCTCTACATGCCGTAAAAATAATTAAATGATAAGCTTTTAATAATATATAGATATGACTGTACTTCGATATTTCATCATCGTTTGATTGAAATTCAATAAGTAAACAGCTCATGCTGTGCAAAGCAATTATTAGCCAAGTTAATATATAACATATCCTCTTCATTTTTAGATCAACATTTAACTTATTTAAACTGCTTCGCTTTGTTTCTAAGCAAATAATTAGTCGTAAAAGTCTATTTTTTCTAAGCCAAGAGTATACTTGAATAAAGAATTCTCTATGAATAAATACCAGTGATATTACTTCAAATGGTAAAGAAGTAAATAAATCAAAATAAAAACCGTATCGTTTTTTAAAGTATTTTTGTGCAATTTTACGTCGATCTTTAACGGGTCTTCCTGTATCATCAGTAATACTAGTATGAAATATCAAATACATTCTTAGAAGATAGAATAAATCCAAAATATAAAGTACAGCAATAAAAGTAGGGTTATCTTCATAAATAGCCACTTGAAAGAGCTCCATATGAAAACCAACAAAACAACTGAAGAAAATCACAAAGGAGTTTAACAGTTTCAAGTATTTGGTATTTTCATAAACATGCATAAATCCAGAAAAACACCTATGATAATATTTCATTGAAAAAGAATGATAATCTTGACTTTTTTCGCTAACGGCCCATAATTCACTTCGTAATGGTCTGTTTACCAAATAATCCACATTAACAGCTGTTAACTTTTTAAAATAATTGTATAGAAATCGATATTTTGATACCACCCCATGAAAATCAGAAGAAGTTATTTTTAAAACTTCCACATTACCACTCGCCACCATCATTAAAGTTTGTCGGCTTTCTTTACAAGTATCTAAATTACCAAAAATACTTCCAGGATATAAAATTGAGAATTTATTAAAATCAGGACCAATAATATCAATAGTTCCTTTCAACAATATAAAAATGTTTCCGTGTACATCATTAACATGGTAAAGAATTCCTGAAAAAAATAATATATGTGTTATGTAAGAATTATAAATTTGATGTAATGTTTGTATTAAAAATAACTTTATAAGTTGGTATCTTAAACAAACATAAAACCATATTATAATCAGGTTGAGCTAACAACATTGAATACGCTATTATAATTTTTATTTATGCTAGCAAAACATTGACTATCTATATTTTGGTAGAAGTCAACTAAAATCTGGTACTTTTGTTGCTCTTGGTGGTTTGTCTCTCACATATAAACATAAAGCTTGGAAGCACTCAAAATTGTGACAAGGAACTTAAAAGAGAACAATGTAAAATAAAATCAAAAGGACATAATCTAAAAATTGTGATAACAAAGGAAGAGATGGCAAATATTTCATTTGCTACCAATATGGGTGCATTGCAAAACAATGTAGAAATAAAACTAAAGACTATCAGAAAGTATAATATTACGTAATAATATTCTCGAAAAGCGGCAGGAAGAGATCGAAATTAACCTTCAGCATCAAGGTTTACGGAAAGTCCATGGATGTCACAATAATTTAATTCTAAACACCGTTATTCGGTTTAAGAATGATTGAGTCTGATTGAGTTCTGGCGATTAATAATTCTTTGTAGCTTCTTCTTTTCATCTTCAGAAACTTCACCCTATTGTGCACAGTTGATAGCAAGGTAGCGATCTTCCCTTTTTAGGGCAGTAATAAAGGTTTTATTTGAATAACAAATTTTGTTGAGTACACTTTCCCGTGTGATGACAAACTCTCGAGGAAGTTCCAATTTATTCTTTCTATGTCAAGGCTTATATAAAATTATCAGCCGTCACATTTCCTGATCCTTAAAACCCGTCCATCGTATCCAATACAACAAGCAGCCCCTGGTTACGTTCACGCTGGTCTGCTATTTTTCAGATGTTTCTTTTGCAATTGCAAGCATTCAATATTATGTTGTCATAGGCAGCTCATATTTTCATTACATACTTTCCATATTTAAAAAGAATACACTATCTACCATCAAGTATTTATTTTATACACCCATGCAAATATTTGGACCACGCCAGGAGTTTCAACAGACATCAGGGAGTGTTGTTTCAATAAATACCATCCGTAATGAAGCACAGCTACTTGGTCGTGCTGCCGCCCATAAGCCTTTGATCACCAAGTCTAAATAACCTGCTTTGTTAATGTTTTGTAAAATAGGTGGAATACAGTGGAGCGTAGATTAGTGGAAACAGTCTCTTTTCAGCTATGAATCAAAGTGCAACTTATATTGTTCGAATGATGGGGGTTGGGTCTGACGTCAGGTTGAATGTAGAAATTCATAGAGGGCTATAAACTGGCTAAATCATATCATCTTCAATAACTTTTGAAGTTGTCATCTGCTGTACTATACCTATAGTACATAAAGTATATAAAGTACCTTTTTATTACGTTAGAAAATGAAAAGTAGTATCTTACAGGTAAAAATTGTATACTTTTAATAATCATTATCAGTAGCATCATTGCGTTCAGATTCTGAGTTAGACGATTTTCCGAGGTTGTATATTTCAGAAACAACTTCATCACCCCTAGTACCTTACTTTTAGAAGTTAATTGGAGTTAAGTTTCTTCTATCAGCCACGATTACGGAACGATTGCGGAGAAATGTTACAAATTGTAGGACCGCCGCGTTCTCAACATTTACGTTGAATTAAGTAAAGTACCGAGTAGAGTGAAGTAGATAGCTTTTGGATTCCCAGAAACACTACACTGTGATACCACATACTTATCACATAAATATTGCAAACACAAAATAACGTATATTACATCTAACTTTATCATTAAGAAAGTTTAATACAGTACCAACTCGACTTATTTACAGCAGTCTGTGTCATAATGCTGCACTCTCTAGTTCTGGAGAAAACTTTACAATTAAAAAGTTGTAAATTAAAATATTCACTCCTCAGGCAAACCTAATAATACGAATACGCAGGTCCTCAAGTGCCGCATTTTCTGATTCTGGAGAATATTTATGTTACATTTACTATCAAAAATTGATTTAATTAAAAAAAATTGCGTTTCTGATTAAAATTCGATTCATCCCTCTGAAATTTGATTGGGATTGTCGAACGAACAATGCCATTATATTTACATATTCTCTTATTTATAAGTTACCTTAGGTACTATTAACGTACTAGGCATCTTTAGAATCTTTAACCATAATACGTCTTGACAGAGGTAAAATATGTTTGATTATCTACATAAAGCTGCGATTCGATAATCAATCATCCACATACCAGAAATGAAGGAACTTATATGCAGTTTATAATCAAAAGTGTAAATACAAAATATCAAGCAAAAATAATAATTATTTTAATACTCACACTTTTAATTACCTCTGTTGTTAGAACAATTGTCTTTTTCATGTTTTTTTTTGGAAATTATCTAAGATACCAACTCACAATGTATAAATTAAGTAATACATTAAATCAAACCTTTATGAACAAACACTTCATATCTGGCGCATTGTACCAAACTTTTGAAAAACCCAATAGGAGCATTTTTAAATATCGATGATTCCCGTAATGATACACCAAACATTTCATATAATAGATCATCTTTAACAATACTTTGTAATACACTTAGTACAGAAATAATTTTTTTCCCTTTCGTTTTCTTCCACATGTTTTCAAAATGATTTACAATCTCGTTTTTTATATTTTTATCAACCTGTTTATCACTGACCATTAATCGCAACTCTTTCATTTCTTCCTGATATTGAGTCAAATCAGTTCTTTTATAAAAGCTATTAGCAATTAATTTTGCAGTAATCCAAGTAAAGACCATTTGACCACAAATTACAACAGCACTAAGAAAAATAATTTCAGTCATTGTAGTTGGATACGCTGTGGTTAAACTTATCGAAGTGAAGTATGTTACAGCAAATAAGACGCTTACAACTTTTTGTTTAATATCGTCTCGGACATTACTTTTATTAAAATTTTCTAAAATCCAGTTATTGATCGCACAATTTGTTTGAGATTTATCCGATATTGCACCGCAAGTTATATATTGCCCAATATTACTTATATAGAATAAGGATATTATAATAAAAGAAACAAATCTCACCATGTCGTAAATTTTAGATCGCGAAATATTGTATGAATTAATATGTGCGACAAATCGTAAAGGTCTATGTAATTGTAAGATCCTGTTTACTCGTAAGTAAGTCTTCGTTTCGTCGAATCCCAGATAGTCAAACGGAAAAGATGCTATCAAATCGAGTAAAAATCCATTTTTGAGATAATGTGTTGCTGTTTTAACAGGATGACTTACTTCAATGTTACAATCGTTGAAATAGCAAACATGCAATCGAAAGTATAAATCTATCCAGGAAGTAATGTCCAAAAATAAAAGTATATAGAACATTGTTGTTGTTGCAAGGGTTGATAATCCCGAAAGAAGGAATGTTGAGTATGCAAAAATCATTCTACTTATTTCCCAGTAAAAAATAAAGTTCCCATTTGCAGAAAATGTTACACGCATCAAGAAAAATGATAAAAATAAATATCGTATTGTACGTTTTTGTTGTTCTTTTAGCATGTGTTTCAGGTTAAAAACGTGTGTTGATGGTACATCAATTTTTGATTCAATTATAAAATATTCCCGAACGTTATACGTAATTTCTAATAGTGATAAATTATCTTGTGTCACTAAATTTAACGTCTCATTAATAATATTTTCAAAATCAGGAAATTTTACGCATAATCTCGTGTATTCTTCGATAGACAATGATAATATTTTGCAATCAGTTTCAGCTATCACTGTGTATTGAATAGGTTTTTGAAGACAAGTTTCAATTACACAAAAACATTCCCCCGGATTCAAAATTCTACCCGTAAGATGAACCTTGCAAAATCCTTGTTGAATCATAAATAATCTTGTACTAATTTGACCAACGTAAGATATCACTTCACCTTTCGCATAAATTATAACGCTTAGTCTTTTCGAAGCATCCCAAATAAGTCTATCATCACATAATCCAAATAACAAGGTGTGACTTAAAAAATTTCCAAACATAACTTGGTTCGTTATTGAATATAAATTAACGGACATATTTCTTTGTTTAAGATGTGGGATCACTAATCTCAATCCTTTATCATACAAAAATTGGGTTCTTAAATAAGTTTTCGTTCTCATTTGTAAATCTTTTTTAATTTTAAAATCTTTCATTATCGTATCTAGCGTTAAAACAAATTCTTTGTATTTATACTCTATGTTTTGTTTACCAGCATAGATAATGGATACGTAACATAACACAAATACAGAGACGAAAATGTAAATGAATTGTAATAACATAACAAGTGGCATTAAGTTGGAGTTCATGTATATTACGATGTCCACGTGGTTCATGTTCCCCAAAAATACAGCCGCTGAGGAGTATAATTGTAATAATACAGATTGTTCCGTTAAATTTGTGGCAAGTTTTAACGTTTCATATCGTAAATCTGGACAAATATCATCCCCACAAATTACGTAAAAAAAAATTATCGCTGTGTAATAACACAAAAAGAAGAAAATCAAGAAAACTTTGAGTTGTACCAAAATATTATTGTGCCTGTATTTAAGACCTTCTATATTTTTAAAGACAAAGCTAATTCGATAAACTTTTAATAACTTGTGAGCCTCAGCAATAATTAGTATTCGATAACTTGTGTCTCTATTAACCACGTAAAAAAACATACATAAAGGTACCGTTGATATTATATCAATTAAAAATGTAAAACTTCTCAAGCGATAATAAATAATTTCTGAGACGTTAGATAGAAGGGCAACTTTAGTTCTCACCGCAGTCGTTGATTGTACAAAGGCGTCCCAACAACAAGCTAACGTTGTTAACACATATATTATTGCTAAAGTTGTCTCATTGATTTGATTACAAAATAAAATCAAACATGGATATCCAATAAAGATTATACTTGAAAATAGAGCCATAAAAACATTCCATCCGGATAAAAAGATCGATTCCGGTTGCAAAATCGGAGGATACGTTGTTTTTAAATAAATTTGATCAACAACTAACTCTAAGTCTTCAGCAATTACTAATAAGTCTAAATAATCGGGATAAAATGCGAGATAATCTTTACGATCTACAGCAGTTTCTTTTCGATTCGCAACCATGCTATGTAACATATCTTTAATCCACGCGATAATAATTGTATCAGGGTTTGTAATGTTATATTGCAACCATTGATATTTAAACATGTTTGTTAATCGTTTCGCTTTTTCATGTCTCATCAATACTGTTCGCAGGATATCGTTGTAATCTTTAGGATAAATCTGACTTAATTGAATAAAGTCTTTTCGTTTCAAATAGATTATTTCGCAATAAGTTTTGCACACCACACTCCACGAATTGGGATAATCCAAAAGAAGACACGATTCACCCAAACAAGTTCCACCGGAAAACGATATTATCGGAGTTTCACCATTCTCCTCCGATATAACTTGAACAATTCCCGTTACAATATAAACCATTTGTTCTTTAAATTGATTTCTATAATAAATGACTTCACCGGAAGGATATGAGTTGTGTCGCATACGATACGCCACCTCTCTTAAGAAATTTACACTCTTATTTCTAAAGAGATGGGTGTGCTTCAATGCGTGCCAATTTAATTCTAAATATAAATCCTTAAACATGATCCATGGAAGGATATGATATTTCGGCGATTCCTGTAAGTGCCATTTTGCTTTATCCCATATCATTTTATAATAAGTTTGAACAGTTGTAAGTAAAGTTTGATGATAATTAGTCCACTCATCTAACGAATATATTTTCCACGAGTTGAATTCTGCTCGAATACTCCCGTATTTTATAAAAAATGAATGAACCTTTTTGTATCGAGGATAAAACGTCGTAATTAAATTTGTTATCATAAAAACATAATAAATAAAATAACATCCACCAACTGTAGTAATAAAGATTGATGCCAAATGTTCATACTTCAATTCAAAATGATATTGAATTAATCCAAATCCCATTCCGGTAAACTTTTCCGCTACTAAATACATATTCTTATAAAACATTGTAGAATTCCAATCTGTACAAGTAAAACCACACATACATGTTTGAATTACTGCAGCTGTTGTTGTAATAATAAAAGTAAGGATTATATAAAAAGAAAAAACGAATGTTATTAGTGATGGAGTTTTCGTGATAGGACGGGCAATTTTAAATTGGCAGTAAATCCGGACCAGTCTCAACGCATATCTCATTCTTAAAATACTCACTGCTGATGGCCATTTCTTCGGACCAATATGATAATAAATACCATCTATAGGCACTAATGAACATATGTCCAAGAAAATTACAAGCGAATTCCTAGGAGGATAACGATGTTGAGTTTCCGGCCAATAAGTATTTCTGTATATAAGCATTAATCCAACATCCAACCCATAAAACACGTCGAAAGAGTAGATTATACCTTTTGTATTGGTCATGTAATGTTTCAACGGTTTTTCGTGCTTCATAATCGATATAGCGGTCGCTGCTTCATTCAGTGTTACATAATATGTTAAAACAATACCAAGTGCGACAAAAAGTTTATATTGAGTTTGAAACTGCATCAAAATGAATGATCGGATTATTATTTTTTCAGTTAATTTTTGAAGAGTTGAATGACTTGATTTTCCTGGATCTTCAAAATTACGAGAATAATTAACGGTTAACACGGTCGGTGTATCCATTGTAAATTAGGGTGAGTGGTTTACAGTGATATGTGACAAGTTGTGACTGATGATATTGATGGTTGCGTTACTACGATACAAAAATATATTATTTTAAATACGAATTTTTATTTTCTCACAATTTTACTATAATATATCATAGATGAAATACTTTTTAGAAATGAGTTGAAGTATGACTGAGTTGATGTATCAGACAAGGGGACTGAAAACCTGCTCCCAGAACTCATATCAGACTTGGAACAACTGCAAATTTATGAAGATTTAATTAGGATGAATGTATTCTTATTATGTGGAAGGAAAACAAATTACAAATTGCATCAAAACTAGAAAAATATTATTTTCTCGCAAACGAGTCGATAATTTGGGATAGTTAAAAGAATGCGTATTATTCTTATTTACCTCTATGGGTCAGTGTTATCACTTCTTCTTACAACTGTATCCATCACAACTATTGAATTTCGACGGACAAAGAGTTTGATAGAGTTTATTAGTTCGATATCACACGAGCGGAGTTGTCATCAAGAAATTTATCCCATCCTAAGGATTTATATTGTGATGTATTAAATGAAAGTACAAACGTGCATCTACAAGAGACGAAGAATGAATTACTTTGATCATGATATGTGTAGTAATATACAAATAATACGAAGACTACATCAAACAATCTATTTCTTCTTTATCAGATCAGATTCATACATTTTGGGAACAAGAAGAATTGAACCAACTGACAACACTTCAAAGATGGAATCTGAATGCGAAAAGGTTTTTAATGAAACAACAACAAAAGACATGAACGGACGTTTTGTGGTAAACATACATATAAAATTATAGTAAATGACTTTTAGGTAGATAACTTACCAACAGGAGAAAATACGATTTGAGGAAGTGAGTTTCTAATGAAGACAAGTTGTTGGAATTTGAAAATGAATTCTCGGATGAATTTAAAACTTTAAATCTTAATAAAATTTAAAACTTTAGAATTATTATGGAATCCTGGAGAAGATTACATACACTATTATGTTCAAAAGAATCAAAATTAATAAGAAATATTTCGAAACGTTAAATCTTTTTAATAAATAATTAGTATGATATTTGATCAGTTAAACTTACTTGGTCAAATTCATATAAAGGCGAAGCTTCCTATGCAGATGTTATAGAAAGAAAATCTTGACTGGGATGATCCTTTGTCTGCAGATTTATACAAAATATGGTTGACCTATATTATAGATGTGCGAAACATCGAAATGATTAAAATTTCGCGACGAATACTTAATAAACAACCAATTAGAATCGAACTGCATGGCTTTTGTGACCCTTCTCTTAGAGCATATGGAGCTTGTGTATACGTAAACTCACAATACGAGAGTGGAAATAATCAAGTCCAATTATTATGTGCAAAATCACGGGTAGCACCTTTGCGAACAGTACCACCTCGGCTATTATTGTGCGGTGCTGTGTTGTTGGCAAAATTGATGAAACGAGTACAAAGGGCACTTAAATTGAGGATTTATTCAGAAAATTAAAGCTCAGGTAATTATTGATGTAATTCGACTATTATATTATGTTGGTTAAAAGGAGAATGTCGTAAATAGAAAGCTTACGTATCAAATAGTGTTGCTGATATACAACAGTCAGCCGAAGTCAGCCATTGGAACTATGTTGGTAGGGACGATAATGCTGCAGACGTGTAAACGCGTGTTAATGCTTACAATTTAAGATTTGTGCATAATTGCAAATTTCCAAAAGAGAAACGTCTAGATCAGAAAACATTGAATCACATCAAGAAGCTTTCAGAAACAAGACAAATATAATACCTCTTAATGAGCATAAAATGAAATAATTTGTGTTATGATGCTGTTACGTATTATCTGTTTATACTTTATTGAAATAAAGATTTCAATGGAGGGGACTATATTATGACAAATTAGTAATTTGGTTAAAACGCCTCTAGTGGCTTGGGAGTTTTTCCACAGCAATGCAGTAAAAATATCATCGTAACATTACTCCTCGAATAAAAAATACAATTTGAAGTTTTTAATTTATGTAAAAACAACTATTGATAATCTTTCCTAGGTTTGGACAAGAATTCACCGTATAATTTGCTGAAGAGTCACAGAACATTACAATTTTTATACCAAACTATGCAGATTTATTGGGTAGAAGCCGAATTATGTCGTAGAATGCGAAAGGAACGTCGCCCATAAAATTTTCAGCGCTGTTCGTCAATTGTGATGATGGTGTGTATGATCTCTGCAAAGTACCACAAAAATATCCCATATCTTGCAAATATGTGTGAAAAATCATTGATTGTTCATTAATAATTTGACTATATTGCAGTGGTCCTTAAGGTTTGGAAGCAGTGTAACAAAATGTTTTTGGATTTAAGGAGAATTTTTGAAATGTATCAAGAGTTTTATTAGTGATTGCCTAAATACAAAGATTTTCACTTGTTTTAATGAAATACCTAGTCGGCTGTTTTAATTATGAGTTATAACTTATTATATTGCAGTCAAGGATTTACAACATGTCTCTTGAATAAGTTTTACACCATGATTGAAGCACATGTAGCGATAGTGAGGATAAATTTAATAAGAGTGTATTTAAAGCAAGTACAAAACATTGTTATATACTGTAAGTGAATCATTTGCATTTGAAATTCTGAAATCCCGTGCAATTGCATCATAATTTAAAAAACGACATTCGAAATTTATTTTCAAAGCACCAAAGCTTATAGCCTACTTAAATAGATTTTACCAGTTTAAGTATATCAAAAAATGTTGAACTTCTATAAAAACTCATTGATTTGTAGCTAAATTTGTAGTTAATCATATGATTGAATAATGTAGGAAATTTGACAGCGTTGTAATATATTACCAATACTATGCCAATATTATGAAATCACGTATTACTGACAACCCTCAGGATATAAATCTATAAATTTATGCTATTTATTTGAAATATACCTACATTATGTTTTCTTATAGGAGTAAAACTCATTGCACAAAATACTTTTATTTAAATTTATCGATGCAAAGTAATATATTACAAAGCGATCGGGTCAACCAATAAATTCAAACGTATTCATTCCAGAACGACGACAGTGCCTTTCTGATACGTTCGTTCTCCCGGAGGCCATCATCTTTCAGCGTGCATTCTTTCAAACAATATCCAGGACATTTTTCATATCTACCCCTCTCGATATTGGGCCGTACCTTTTCGTCGTTTGGCCGAGTTTTCATTCATTTCGACGGTACGGATGGGCGTCGACCGACCGAAATCAAATTTTCCCATTGAATGAGCATCCAATGCACGAAAAACGGCTTGTCCCGGCGGGGAAACGATGCACGAAAACAGGGGATAATCGAAGTTATTTGCAACAGGATGCGAGCTGAGCCGAAATGCCCGGATATCGTCGGTTAGGGCGGTCGTCGGAGAAATTGCGTCGACATTCTTATGGTTTTACTATAGATATAACATTTTCAACGTTTCATTCGATCACATTCAAATCAGAATTTACACATAATCTTTTTAATATGTAAGTAGTTTCAACAATGGATTCAATAAAAGTGTGTGTGTACGTTAAAGAAAAAAATCAAACTGATTTCAATAATACAGTGTCGTAAATTACAGGGCACTTATTGCCAATGGGAATTAAAATTTCATGAGGGGACTAATGCAAACTGCGTAAAATATTGATGGTGTCGTTAAGTCAGATAAGACAGACGGCTTGTTTACGAACTGGTGTACAAAATCCATAAATTTTACACAGCGATTGCATATTTACGAGCTAACGGGACGTTATAAATATTGAAGGGTTAAGTTTAAGACGCGTATTCACCAAACATTTCAAATATGTCTGCATTTTGTGTACTAATATTTTATTTATAGCTACGTATTTGTACATTGCACTCTACATGATTTCACCTTTCACTATATTAGATTACCATTTCTTTTTGGAGGACTTGGTTTTGAAATTTTCAGAGAGGGTATCCTCATATAACAATTTTAGACATAATTTACAACATCATCTTACTTACTTTAATTAGTTAATTAAACTTTAGGTTAACATAACCTAAGGACTTGAGAGGTTCTGAGAAGCGTCTCAAGGTGTTGTTTTATAAGAAACCCCTAAATCACAAAATTCGACACCAACAACGGAGACGAAACCAAACTTTTCGGTCGGGTTTAATTAAAAACAAAATGGGGTAAAAGGGGTTGCGTGGCCGAAGATTTAAGGGAAGTAACTTACGGTTTAATACGTCACCTAAACTGCGTGCGAATGGAAAGTTACGCGCGTCATTAAGTGTTTTGAGGAGAGACAGGACTCGGTGTCTATGACATCGTAAACGTTTGAAATGTTTCTCAGGTTTAATTTAATTGAAATTCGGAAGTGAAGATAAATTTACTTAACATAAATTATTCCATTTGATTGTAATTTAATTAAAATATAGTGGTCCTTAAATGCGTTGCGATTCAATGGTTTTGTGAAACTGACGTAAATCTTTGATCGGGTATCTTGAACCCTATTAAACCTACATTGTTTTGTTAACGACCAGGACAAGATCCCACGTCTCCTCAAAGCCTGATTATCTTATTACCGCATCCAACCCTAAAACAATATAGGTCTTAAACCAAAATCTAATCATAGTTTAATCTACATAACTAAGAAAATAGGATTCTAAAATCGGTCATGTTATCGGTAAGACGAAAGTGTTTTTATAAATTCGTTAAAAGTGAATTTTAGCAATAATTTTGAAAAAAAAAATCACTTTTTCGCTTTTCTGATTCGATCAACTGCTTAATCCACGACGACTATTGAGTCTTAACTATCCAAATTTAAAGGATAGTAAAAGATAAAGCTGAAACATTACAGGGAAAGTGAAAATTTACTAAGAAGGTATGACGACATTAAGCCGGAAATAGGAAAACAATAAAGATAATGTTTCCGTACGTACAATCTCGTTTAATCCGTTGATATCGTGAGATATTGGCTGGTCCAATGAAGAAGGGTGTCATAAATTTATAAGGCGCCACGTAATTAAACTCGCGACACACACTAATTACGAAGTAACAAAATCCACACAACAAATAAATGACGTTAACGAGAAAGGATTAA